AACCAAACAATCCGTCTTACAATAAATTAATGAAAGTTCGGGTCTGTTCTGATTGACTGAACTGAGCTAAACTGAACTGAATATTTTATGGGATGTTAGTTTAGATGAACTACTATGAGAGGGGAGTGAATAGTAGTAGGTTCCAATTATGAAACTTATGCGGAAATTAAAAACAAAACATAAAAGGAACTTAAAGAACACAACAAGATTTTACGAGGAAACCTTCTAGGGCCTAACTGGAAGTAAAACATATTTTATGGGATGTTCACTTTTTAGAGTTTTAATCAGAATAAAAGAAGTGTTTTAAAATAAAATGCGATTTTGCCCTCTCGTACGGCTAAAATTTATCAAATTAAGAAAACGCGTGGAAACTTGTTTCCAGCGTCTGACGACAGGACCAGCGCCTAGCGCCATGCTTAGCGTCTGGCGCTAGATCTGGCGTCTGGCGCTAGTGTACAACGTTTGGCGCCCATTGTTTTATTCTTTTCGAAACTCTAGTTCGTTTTTTTTTTATCATATCCGGCTGATTTTCTCTATAAATAGCCTCCTAAAACCTCCGTTTTCAATCATCGAAAATCACCAACTCCCATCAAAGAATCTCTTGATTACTCTCTCTCTCTCTCTCTCTCTCTCTCTCTCTCTCTCTCTTTTCTAAACTAGCCTTTTGCATATAAAATTCCGCATTCACAAGATCTAGAAACACGTAGCAAAGTTCGAAGTTGCCTTCGCCCTAGACATGAAAGGTTTTTTTTTCTGAGGGTTTGGTCTCAAATCTCTATTTCAATTATTTGATTTAATTGTTTGATTTTATATTTTCCTTGAAATTACTAACTATAGGGAATATTTCAAGCATTATCCCAAACTTGAACCCCACTGTGATCATACACTAAAGTACGGTGGTGTCCAAAGGGAAAGAAGATAGAGCAAAAGAGTCGCCAACAAGTTTTAGGAGCTTGTAAACCGTTCACGAGGTGAAGGTTACACCCCTTAACGATCCAGGAGATCGTCAACTCCAATAGGTCTTGAACCATGACTGGTAGTTCGGGGATGAAGATACAAATCCAACCTAAAAGAGATTGAACCTGCCCTAATAATAGGCCTCTACTTTATTCTGATCGTATTCATGTGTACTTTCTGACTAACATATAATCAATAGGTTTACCCTAAACCTATTTATCTATGTTGGTTGAATATTAATACACAAATAAAACTATTATTGGCGATCACTTGAATTATGATCAAATTAACCCTAAACAAGATTATTAATTATCTTATTAAGCGTGATTACAAGTACAAATTCCCTTTAAACATGCATAAAAGGCGTGATCAAGCAATAACAATAAATAAAATCAAGCAACATAATAATAATCATCAAAATAAAAATAATCATAATTATCATAATCATGTTAAAGCATAATAATAATAGCAAGATCCTAGGCATGATACTCACAAGATTAATAACAAACCCTAGCATGTCACTAAGCAATAAAGATCAAAGCTTTAACCCTAACATGATACTAACAATAAAAAATATTAGGAAGAACATAAAAGGCATCATACTTTTAATCATACTTGATATTAAAGTTACCCTAGACATGATATTAGGAAGATCAAAATACTCTAACATAACATTAGGAATCATAACAACAACCTAAGCATGATTTCTGCATAATAACATCAATAAAAACCATTAAAGCACTTACTTGGATACCTCGTACCTCTTTCTAATAACAAAATACACACGTTAGTAATTTCAAGGAAAATAATAATTAAAACAATTAAATTAAATAATTGAAATAAAGATTTGGGACCAAACCCTCATAAATTAAAACCTTTCACGTCTAGGGCGAAGGCAACTTCGAATAATGCTAGGCGTATCTAGGTGTTGTGAATGCGGAATTTTGTAAGAAAAAAGGGGGTAGGTTTAGAAGAGAGAGAAAAGCTTTAGCTTAGAGAAAAATTTAGAGAACTAGAGAATTGATGATTGTAGATTAAAGGTTCTAGATGAGTGAAAACGGAGTTTTTAGAAGGCTATTTATAGAGAAAATCAGCCAAAAAGATAGAAAACCGAAACATAGTTCTGACGCGCAAAAAAAAAGTTAGCGCCAGGCGCCAGACGCTAATTAAATTTCTAACGCGTTTTCTAAAATCAGATAGCAATTAACCGTACAGGAGGATAAAATCGTATTTTCCTCAAAAACATTCTTTTATTCTGATTAAAACTCTAAAAAGTCAACAAAAGTCAATTTTTATCAATGCTAATTGAATTAGGAATGAAAAGAACCTTCTAGAAGAATCTAGAAGCCTAAAACCATTCCTAATTGCATTAGGAATGATAAATCTATATTAGGCCCTCCCCTAGATCATTGGGCCGCATATAAGGCTCAAATCGGGCCCAATTTAGTAATTTGGCCATAATTTCCTCAATATTCATCGGAATTGGGCTTATAATATATCATTGGAAAACTCTTTTCAAGCCCTATCCAGATACACTACTATTGGATCCATATCATGGACCAACCAAACTGGATTGGCTGTTTTCTTAAAATAGGTTTTCAAAAACATAGAGAAGAGAAAAAAAATTAAAACTATCCGCAACACTTTACTTTCCACACTTTCACTTCATTCGATTACGATTGGACGTGAAAGGTACTCATCACCGGGTTTGGTTTTGGAGAGACACATTTGGGTGTCTACACTAACGCGTGTATTTTGTTATTAGAAAGAGATACAAGGCATCCAAGTAAGTGCTTTAATTGATTTATTGATGTAATGATATAGAAATCATGCTTAGATTATTATTTTGATCCCTAGTTGTAGGGAATATTTCAAGCGTTAATCCCCTAGCTTGAACCCCACTGTGATCATACACTAAAGTACGGTGGCATCCAAAAGGGAAGAAGATAGAGCAAAAGAGTCGCCAACAAGTTTTTTTTAGGAACTTAAACCGTTCACAAGGTGAAGGTTACACCCCTTAACGATCCAAGAGATCGTCAACTCCAAAAGGTCTTGAACCAAATAGGGTTCGGGGATGAAGGTACAAATCCAACCTAAAAGAGATTGAACCTGCCCTAATAATAGGCCTCTACTTTATTCTGATCGTATTCATGTGCGCTTTTTGATTAACATACAATCAATAGGATTAACCCTAAACATGTTTATCTATGTTGGTTGAATTTAATGCACAAATAAATCTATTATTGGTGATCACTTGAATTATAATCGAATTAACCCTAAACAAGATTATTAAATATCTTATTAAGCGTGATTACAAGTACAAATTCTCTTTAAACATGCATAAAGGCATGATCAAGCAATAAAAATAAATATATCAAGCAACATAATAATAATAATAAATAATAATAATAACCATGAATCATAAAAATAATCATAATAATCATGTTAAAGCATAATAATAATAGCAAGATCCTAGGCATGATACTAACAAGATTAATAACAAACCCTAGCATGTCACTAAGCAATAAAAATCATATCTTTAACCCTAACATGATACTAACAATCATAAATATTAGGAAGAACATAAAAGGCATCGTAACAATCATATTTAATATTAAAGTTACCCTAGACATGATACTAGGAATATCATAATAACAACCTAAACATGATTTCTACATCATAACATCAATAAAAACCATTAAAATACTTACTTTGATGCCTCGTACGTCTTTCTAATAACAAAATACACAGGTTAGTAACTTCAAGGAAAATAATAAACAACAGTTAAATTAAATAATGGAAAGAGAGATTTGGGACCAAACCCTCAGAAATATCAAAACAGAGTCTGTCGCACATAAAATTGAATTAGCGCCAACGCTGGTTTACTGGCGCCAGGTGCCAAGCGCTACAGCTGGCGTTTGGCGCTGATTTAGAAAATCACGCGTTTTCTTAAAATCAGATAAAATTGCCGTACAGGAGGATAAAATCGTATCTTCCTCAAAAATGCTCTTTGATTTTAATTAAAACTCTAAAAAGTCAACAAAAGTTAATTTATCAATGCTAATTGAATTAGGAATGAAAAGAACCTTCTAGAAGAATCTAGAAGCCTAAAACCATTCCTAATTGCATTAGGAATGATAAATCTATATTAGGCCCTCCCCTAGATAATTGGGCCGCATATAAGGCTCAAACCGGGCCCAGTTTAGTAAACTGGTCATAACATCCTCAATATTCATCGGAATTGGGCTTATAAAATATCGTTGGAAAGCTCTTGTCAAGCCCCATTCAACTACACTACTATTGGACCCATATCATGGAACAACCAAACTGGATTGACTGTTTTCTTAAAATAAGTTTTCAAAAACAGAGAGAAGAGAAAAAAAATTAAAACTATCCGCAACACTAAACTTTCCACACTTTCACTTCATTCGATTATGATTCGACGTGAAAGGTACTCATCACTGGGTTTGGTTTTGGGGAGACACAAATGGGTGTCTACACTAGTGTCATGTTATGATGTTTTGATCTTCCTAGTATCATGTTTAGGGTAATAACTATAATTTCTAATATCAAATATGACAATTGTGATTCCTACGATGCTTTCTTTTCTCCTTCTAATATCATGTTAATATCCTGTTAGGGCTATATATTTGATCTTTGATGTTTAGTGACTTGCTAGGGTTTGTTATTAATCTTGTTAGTATCATGCGTAGGATCTTGCTATTATTATGCTTTAACATGATTATGCACTAGTAGAAAAAAGCATTTGGCCACCGGTTCAAAACCCCCCTATGACACCGGTTTTGAACCGATGTACATTTGGGGGGTGGCAATAGTCTGATGCAAAGTCAGCGGTTCAAAACCGGTGGCAAAAACAAGTATGGCCACCGATTAACCGGTGGCAATATATATTTTTGCCACCGGTTAACCAGTGGCAATAACTTTTCCTGATTTTTTATGGGGTTATTGGCACCGGTTCCTGTTCAAAACCGGTGCCAATAATGGCAAAAATAAATAAATATTTTTTTTTTTTGCATTTTTTTCACTTAAATTGATAAATAAACACTAATATATATATAAAGTTACATATTTTCATAAAAAATGATGTAATATTACTATTTTTGTCTAAAATTTTAAAATAAATTACAAGGTAAAAAAAATATGAAGCTACACAGTAGCAGAAGTGATGAACAGCAGCAGCAGCGCATATATGGAGCAGCACGCCAGCACAGAAGCGGAACACCAGCACAGAAGCAGCCCCATATCTTAGTTTAACAAATTTTTGCATTATTCCTACATGATCTTCTGAAATCCACAAGAGAAGAACATTATCGGTATCAGCTTTTTCAGTGACTTTGAAGCGCCAAAACTAAAAACATATAATACAGTATGTCAGTATATGAGCAAAGCAACTACTGGCTTAAGGATATTAATAAAAAAAAGTCTTCATGTAAAATCCTAGACAAGTAGACATGCATAGCTCCTAAACATTTACATACTTTATATACAAGTATGAGACTATGACTCTATGAATATTGCTTTTGTCCATCTCATACACTTCCAAAAGAAAATTGCAATTCATCATTCAAGAGGCAAGAATTTGAATTTTACCAGTATGCTTTGTGGCTACAGGTAAGTGAACTAGGTACAGATCCATATATATAATCAAGTCGAAGTTGCTTCAAACTGTCTTTGCACGCTTCATGTACATGTCCATGGTCAGAGCTCCACAGCTGCAATAGGATTATACATGATAAGTGAGTGTAAATGTCATCTGATGATCAAAGTTCCTCCCAAAATAAGAAATTTTGTCCTCACTTAACCTTAGTGGTTATGAAAAGATCCTCCCTTTTGACAAGCCCAACTTGAATAGCTTCAGCAAGTGCCTCCCCAACCTCAACTTCATTCTAGTAAAAAGCTACAAGAATCGTACCCGATTACACATCGTAATTTTATCACTAAAGACAGATAATAGTACATTGTAATGAACATGAGAGTTTTCTACTTGTCATTCTAAGGCTTGTGCTTGTGCATGTACATGGATCTGGAATAAAACAACCCTAGACTTTGTGAACTTAATAGTCATTTTGAAACAAGAAACAGAACCATAATCACACAACAGCATCACCTGGTCAGAAGCTCAGAATGAGGGATGATCAGAATAGTCAGTTTGTAAAATCCTTTTTTTTTTTTTAATCATATCTCATCTACTCTTTAAATTCAAACAATCAATCATAGATTCCAGTTCATGAGCAATGCCTAGCAAAGTGGTGCAGTGGTGCACAGCTTAGTGCCTTAGTACATTACGGTCTCAGACCAAGCTTGAGCTTGACACGAGCTCACTAAATTTAGATTTTGACCGAGCTGATTTGGTAGCTAGCAATCAGGCAAGGGTTATTATCAATCCTATACTAACAACTTGCACAGAAACAAATATTTCCCAAAGTGTAACAATGGACATACACATGCACAATTGAATCAGAAATAGACTAAAACATTAATTCTTTTTAAAAAGCTGCCAATCATGACATGTTATAGCAATGTAAAAACTCCTGTAAAGATTATCGCTAGGCAGTAGTAAGCAAAACAGCACAACAAATTTCTCTTTAAAAATTCTTTTCACGAGAAGACGTCAGTCAAAAACTATCTATACAGCATTTACATAGATTCACACAAATTACAATTGAGTCATACCGGCTTACCCTATTACAATGAGTGTAGTTGAATTGGATATAAGAAATATTTTTTCCTTTCAAAGGTTAGACATATACAGAGTAAAAGGGCAATTAAATAAGAAAATTGTCGCATTCAAGTTGTTCTTTTTGTATTTTTTTTAGGTAAAAGCATTCAAGTTGTTCTTAAATACCTCTCTAGATGTCTTTATAATGGTGAAGGGATTCAATCTCATGTTTTTAAGATTTATCCCTGAAGACTTTAATCAACTAAATTAGTTGATTGTCCACGTGACCACATTAGTTGTCACTAATCACATTATCCGAAAACTTTCAACCCTTTATAGGAGTAATGACATGATTTTACATGAGTGCCCTTTATATATAATGGATGCGTTGATTTTATCATATTCTTCTTAGTGGTGATGCACTAATGATAAAGCCAATCATAGAAACTAATAATAACAAAAACAACCATCACAACCAAATTTAGAATTAATAAACCTGTTGTGGCACTCGTGTAAATCTACGTATTGTCCGAAGCATTCTTCACCACTGAAGGGTATCTTCATGTTTTGTAAATTAGCCAACATATCTTCGTAGTGCTCACCAATACGGACCACCGCGGAAGCCGCCTTGGGGTTTTGACGGCCGGATTCTTGTATCACCTTTAACATGTCGTAAAATTCGTCAAACACCTTACTATTATTACTATTAGTATTGTAAACATCCATCGTAACAAATTTTCCTTGACAACTTTTTAATTCGTCTCTCAAATTTAATTGATTTTTTTCTTTCAAATCAATGTTTCTCTCGTAAACTAAGACAGGCTAATAAAAGACAAGCTAATCACATATACTTATAAGTGAGGAGCCGACCTAAGTTTATACACAATAGCTTGATCATCACGGAAAAATCCAACATAAGTGCAATTTTACAAACCTAAAGTAAAGACTAAATTTAGGGGCTTTTTCCTCCAATAGTTGAAAATTATATTTCAATAACTACTTTACGCCATTAAGAATGGAATCAATGATGTATTAGCTAGGTTGAAAAAAATTACTCCATAATTTACCATATTTTCAATTAATTATACCGAACATCTACATTAAAACTTTGCAAAGTATTAACAATTAATATGTAATTAATTAATGTGAGAGGAATGTAGTGGACTATTGAGCATTTGTATGTAGCATGGGACAAACTCAAATCAAATAAACGACTTAACAAGAACAATGGAATAAAATTAAAGGACGAATACAGTAATATATGCAACATACACTAAGGTCCAAAGTCATTGGACCAGAACAATCAGAAATTAACAATGAAAAAAAAAAAACAAAATTGAAACTAAACCATATAAAGATAGATCTTCAGCAAACGAGCAATCAAAAATCGAATCGCAATCAGAAATCACAATCAACATCAAAAGCATCATCCATCACTTCTCCAAGAACAAGTCCACCCATTGCTCTTTCTAACAGACCAGCTCCCATTCCCATTCCACCACCCTCAATTAACACACCAAGAACAAATAAGTGGAATAGCCTATAATTTGAGCAAAAATGATGCATCTATGAAGCTTGAGAAATAAACATATGCGTAGTACATAAATTCAAATGCTGGAAGATAGAGCTAAACTCAGAAATTACCAAAAGCAACCATAGCTTTAGGACCCAACTCTTCAAAAAACTCAGCTTCTGAACCCTTTTCAAGGACAGTGTGACAATACCTCTGAAACAAGAAGTAAACAAATGCTTTCCCATTAATACAATTAATTTGATTATCCAAATCCCTATAAAAACTAAATTATGTGATTCATACCACGATTTAGATATTCAAGGTCGAGGCAGAACAGGGAAAGGAATGGAGACTTTGAATTTTTGATTCACTGAACAGCCACCACGTCTAACCAACTAACCCGCCTTAACCACCACATGCACCACCTAAACCCACCAGATCCACCACCTTAACCCAAACACACAACCTTAACCCACCCCAAACCGAACCCACACACTAGACCGACCACCTTGACCCACCCTAAGTCCCTAACCCAAACCCACACACCAAACCGACCACCTTAACCCACCCTAACCCGAACCCACCTTAACCAACCTAACCCGAAACCACCCAACTAACCAAAATTATCACCTAAACCCACCTAATCCGAACCAAAACACCTTAAACCACCCAACTAACCCAGATCTATCACCCATCTTATTAGAAACCCAGAAACCCTAGATCTCAGTTGATAGAATCAAAACATATAACACCAATAAAATTAGGGGAAAACACGAAAAATAAAAATCGATTAATCAAAAGTGCACAATTAAAAGGAAATAATAGAATATACTTGGTTTCTGGGGTTCGCCATCTTCGAATTAGGAGAATAGAATCGTCGTCAAATTCATCAAAGGAAGAGGAGGTGGAAGAGCAAGGAGAAGATGACATTGATGAGAAACAATGGAGGTTAGTGAAGGTAATAAAAATGGTGCAAAGAGAGAAAGAGAGTAGTGGTTTGATCTGGTTTTGCCATTGAGGAGAGAGGAGAGAGTGAGAGAGAGGACGAGAAGGAAAGAGAAAGAAAAAATAGGGGAAAGAGGGAGAAATAAGAAGGGTAGGGCTGCAGGAGTTAGGTTTAACACAGCTAATTCCCACCGGTTCAAACCGGTGGCCTTTATCACACATGCCACCGGTTTGGTTTGAACCGGTGGCAATTTAAAAAAGCCTATTCCCGCCCATTTTTTCCCCACCGGTTTTTAAAAATCGGTGGACATGGCTCGGTGTCTTTTTGTATTTTTCTAATAGTGATGATAAATATGATTATTTTAATTATGATTATTATTTTTATAATTGTTAATTATTGTTATGATTATTATGTTGCTTGATGCTTATTATTATTTATTGCTTGATCACTCTTTTTATGTATGCTTAAAGGGAATTTGTACTTGTAATCACGCTTAATAAACATATTAATAATCTTGTTTTGGGTAAATATGATTATAGTTCAAGTGATCGCCACTAATAGTTTTATTTGTGCATTAATATTCAGTCAACATAGATAAACATGTTTAGGGTTAAACCTATTGATTGCATGTTAGTCAGAAAGTGCACATGAATACAACCAGAATAAAGTAGAGGCCTATTATTATGGCAGGTTCAGTCACTTTTTGATTGGATTTGTACCTTCATCCCCGAACTACAAGTTATGGTTCCAGACCTATTGGAGTTGACGATCTCCTGGATCGTTAAGGGGTGTATCCTTCACCTCGTGAACGGTTTACAAGTTCCTAAAACTTGTTGGCGACTCTTTTGCTCTATCTTCTTTCCCTTTGGACGCCACCGTGCTTTAGTGTATGACCACAGTGGGGTTCAAGTTTGGGGTAATGCTTGAAATATTCCCTACACATAGTCACGTTTTTAAAAATTTGTGTGATCTTTAATGTTATTATGAACTTAAAGTACAACATAATGTTGAATAGTGACCTAATTTTAACATAGTGATCTTTATTATTCATATTGACCATTATATTAAAAATTTCATTAAAAAATTAATCTCTTATAAATTTTATAATGTCACACTAACTTTTTTTTCAACATAATAACCTTTATATTTATTTAGTAACTTTTTTTTTATTAATAAAACAATCATATTGTCACTAATTTTGATGATTCATAATAAATTAGTGTGAACCAAGTCCATTTAAAAATTTGTACTACTTTCTCACTCTATTTTCTATTTCTAAAAAGTACACGCTCTCCACTTTCTCTCTTTTGAAAGTATGTTTTCTTCACACTTTAATTACTTCTTATAAGTACTTTTCATCTTTAGAGTTTGGGATTTTTTTTTTTTTTTTTTTCACCTGTACATAGTAATTTGAAATATAACCCACCTAATCCACCTATATATATATATATATATATATATATATATATATACCTGACGGTCTGCTCCAACAATCTCCTTTTCCCTTCCTATTGCTCTGGCTTAGAATGAAAAACAGCAAAAAGGATTTTTAGAGCAGCCATTTCTGAAATTTTTAAAACACAATATAGTCAAATTAAAGCAATTGCGATGGTGACTTAAAACATGTATCAGGACTTGGAGAGAACAATAAATTATTCCTGCTACTGCTAGTGTTAGAAATTTTTATATGTTGGATATTTGGATGAACACAACAAAGCTCAGCTAGCTCCATAAGCTATTTCCAAAACTTTCTTTTACAATAATGTTAGCGTAGATGAAACAGTTAAAAATTACTTTAAAAAAGTAACTAGTGTGTGCCCTTACCCAATACTGCACGTGCCCAAATATTTGGGCCTCAAATCAGTAAAAACATTCACAAATTTTTGTATTTGGCTGGCCACACGGTGTGGCCAGCCACAAATTTTTTTTCTTTTTTTTTAAATACCACAACTCTTCTCTCTTCTCTTTTCTTATCTTCTTCTCCAAGTCAAACCACACATCACCAACAACCATATCTCTACTCCACCCATTTTCTCTCTCCACTTTTCTTAGCTTCATCTACAACCCAAACCACACATCACCAACAACCATATCTCTACTCCACCCATTTTCTCTCTCCTCTTTGCCAAATTGCTGCAATTTAAGCCCAAAATTGTAGAAATTAGGTGTCAAATTGCTGTGAAAAATTGTGATTAATTTTCCTTAAGATCATCAACAACATTTGAAGTAGTGAAATCGATGAGAACCAAAGAAATGTGAGCTCGTTTTCTTCGTGGAATCTTAGTCAGGGGTACTTGTAGGGTGTTACTGGTTTGGTTAGGGGTTACATGTTAGGTGTTACTGGTTTAGTGAGGGTGTTACTGGTTTGGTCAGGGGTAGGTTACTTGTAGGGTGTTAGTGATTTTGGTAAGGGGTTACTTGTAGTGTGTTACTGGTTTTGGTCAAGGGTTATTTGTAGGGTGTTACTGGTTTGGTTAGGGGTTACTTGTAGGGTGTTACTAGTTTTTCTCAAGGGTTACTTGTAGGGTGTTACTGGTTTGGTTAGGGGTTACTTGTAGGGTGTTACTAGTTTTTCTCAAGGGTTACTTGTAGGGTGTTACTGGTTTGGTTAGGGGTTACTTGTAAGGTGTTACTAGTTTTGCTCAAGGGTTACTTGTAGGGTGTTACTGGTTTGGTATGGGGCTTACAAGCAACCCTTGAATAAATGACAAGTAGCCCTTAAATAAGTAATTTATACAAGTAACCCTTGAATAAGTAATTCATACTAGTAACCTTTGAAGTAACTCATATAAGTAACCCATGTCGAATAAGTAACTCATACAAGTAACCCTTGAATAAGTAACTCATACAAGTAACCCTTGAATTAATCTATACAAGTAACCCCTGAAAAAAAAAATACAGGTAACCCTTAAAAAAAGAAATACAAGTAACTCTTGAAAAAAAAATACAAGTAACCCCTGAATGAGTAATCCATAAAAGTAACCCTTGAAAAAAAAAAAATACAAGTAACCTCTGAAAAAAAAAATACAAGTAACCCCTGAAAAAAAAAATACAAGTAACCCCTAAATAAATAATCCATACAAGTAACCCCTAAAAAAAATACAAGTAACCCTGAATAATACAAGTAACCCTGAATAATACATGTAACCTCTAAATAAGTAATCCATACAAGTAACCCCTGAAAAAAAAAATACAAGTAACCCCTGAAAAAAAAATACAAGTAACCTCTGAAAAAAAAATACAAGTAACCCTGACAAAACCAGTAACTCCGTTATACGAGTGAAACAGTAACCACGTTATGCGCGCATAATCCGTTATTTTTACTGACTTGCCAGCAGGCCACACCGTGTGGTCTGCTGCACCAAAAAAGCTTTGATCAGTATTAGGCAAGCTGAGGTAGCTGATACTTCTTATTGGCTGATTATTAAAGCAAAAAAGTCGTTGGGTTATTGACCAAACAAAAAAATTTGACTAATTAGACAACAAATTAAGTTAATAAACAATACTTAGTCAAGTTGACTCAAGTAATTCAGTCACCTTCTTATATAGAAAATTCAAAATTAATTGAGTATTAAAGACAAAATTACAAAGAAATTTAAGCTAAAATATCAAGAAAGTAAGTAAAAATAAGTAAGAAAAATGGGAGAAGTGAAGGTTTTGGGAGCATGGCCAAGTCCTTATTGTTATAAGGTAATATGGGCTTTGAAACTCAAAGGTGTGGAATATGAATATGTTGAAGAAGATCTTTCTAACAAGAGTGATGAGCTTTTGAAGAGCAACCCTGTGTACAAGAAAGTTCCGGTGCTTATTCATGCCGGAAAATCGATCTCGGAATCGAATGTTATCCTAGAGTATATTGAAGAGACATGGCCTCAACATCATCTCCTTCCACAAGATCCTCATGAGAGGACTGTTGCTCGGTTTTGGACCAAGTTTGTTGAGGATACGGTAAATTACTTCCTTTTATTGCTTTTTGCCATTTTCCCTATAATTTGTGCTTTCCTTCAAGTTTCTTAGATTTTTTTAATCATATTATAAATTATAAATTCTTAGCGAACATAGTGAAATTGTATTACGAAGAGAATGGATAATTTATTTTGGGATAGAGGGAGTATTATTGTATATTTCACAAAATAAAAATAGGCTTACTTACCCTAAAGCAAAAATCGGTTCAATCCGTTATAAAAATCCACTTTACCCCATCAAAATTTAAGTCAAATTACTAAATCTAATCAGAGAAATTTGCCAATGATCTGAGCTTCTTCCTTTATATATTCGAACACAACTCGTATCTTGACTCAACACAGAAGACTCATTAAGACTTTACTAAATTCTATCAAAAAGCTTGTTCGGTGTTAAATTGTAAACCTGAAGTTAGGACTATCTTAATTACGGGTGTTAAGTTAGTAAACTTGAAGTTAGGACTGTCTTAAATATTGCAGATCAGTCCTGTATTTCGAGCATTTTTCATTGCTTCGGGAGAAGACCACCTAAAAGCAATAGAAGAAGGCAAGGAGCTGTTCAAGGTCTTAGAAGAGCAAGATCTAGGAGACAAGAAGTTCTTTGGCGGCAACAAGGTAGGGCTGATGGACTTGGCTTGTGGGTGGCTTGCTTGGTGGTTTGAAACAATTGAAAAAGTAGTTGGTGTTAGAATACTTGAAGGCAGCCATTTTCCTCGTTTGAAACTATGGGCAGAGAATTTTAAGAATGTATCGGTAATCCAGGAAAACCTGCCTGACCGAGAAGAAATGTATGAATATTACAAGCATATTAGGGAGATGTTTATGTCAGGTAACAACAGCTGAGGGTAGGACTGTCAGGTGGATAAAATGTATGTCCTGCATTTCCTGCTGAATAAAATGTATCTGTGAACCTTTAGTATCAACTGAACTAAAACCAGAAATTAGTGAATCATCAATTTATCAGAGACGTATAAAGTGAAAGTAAACCCTGATTCCTAATATAACACAATGAAAGCAACTAATTCTGGATGTAAACCCGAAAAAGTATCCAGCCTTTTGCCTTTGCAACTTTGCTTTCTGCTGATAAACTAGCATTTCAACCCACCAAATAAATATGCTTTGACGACAAGCATTAAATTTCAGGGATTAAGGGCAAATTCTTCTCTATTACTTCAGCAAAAAAACTCAGATAAGAACTCAATTATAAAAATTCTTGTAGCCTATTAGAAAACCCTTGTTTGTCACATCATTAGAGAAACTAGATAACAATACAAGTGGTCCACAAAATTGCATCACCTAACCTAACTTTAACTTTATTAACATCTGTCTCTTTTGCTGTTGTCAAAAAAAAAAAAAAAATTTATTAACATCTTAAACGTCAGTTTCTTAAACCAAGAAAATGTCCAAGCCATAAAAATAGTCAAAAAGAAACAGCAGCAATAAAGCAGAACTTTCAGATCATAAGCTTACCTTGAAAAAAAAAAGTTTGAATTAACAAATCCAAGATTTCATTTGAAAAAATCCACAATTTCACCAACATAACAGAAATGAAGGAAGTTAAACTACTGGGAGTTTGGTCTAGTGTTTACTGTCATAGAGTTATCTGGGCTTTGAAACTCAAAGGTGTCGAATATGATTATACAGAAGAGGATATAGCAAACAAGAGTGATGAGCTTATACGACATAACCCAGTGTATCAGAGAATACCAGTCTTCATTCATAATGGAAAACCTATAGCAGAATCAATTATTATTCTCGAGTACATAGATGAGGTTTGGCCTCAGAATCCCCTGCTATCAGCTGATCCTTATGAGAAGGCCATAGCGCGATTTTGGGCTGAATTTCTAGAAGATAAGGTAGAATCAAATGTTTCTTGTTTTTTCTTTTCCCCTTAACTCTGTTAAAATAAGATTTCTCTTATCTGACCATTAAACTCAGATAATCAACACTCAACTATACAAGGAGTCAACATAACAATCTAACAGCTTAGTTATAGACTTATAGTGTTCACATAGTAACATAATCTAAGATCATCCTCTACAGAATTAAGAAATACAATTTGATAGTAAATGAGTAAAATAAATAACACTTCTTAATCCAAAAACCAAACTTAATATTCAGTTCATGTTTTTCCTGAACTTTTTGCACCTGTTTTAAATCAAACATGAGATTCCAAAAGATATTTTAATACCTAAGTAGATCTTACAAATGATGCAGAGCCCAACATTCTATTCTTATTTCCGAGCTGCTGGGGAAGCCCAAGAGAAGCTCGCGAAAGAAGCTAAAGAACTACTCCATATAATAGAAGATAAAGGGTTGGGAAAGAAGAATTTTTTCGGTGGGAATCAAATTGGGTATGCTGATATATGCTTAGGATGGATTGCTTGCTGGCTAGAATTAATGCAAGAAGCAGCAGGAATCAAACTACTGGAATCTGATGAGTTTCCCAAGTTACTGGCTTGGAGCAAGAGATTTAAGCAAGTTCCAGAGATCAATGAGAGCTTACCAGATAATGATAAGATGTTGACCTACTTCAGAGGGCTAAGAGAGCGATTTACTGCAGCTCCAGCACCCTGATTAAAGGATATTACCAAATAATAGGCCAGTCAAAAGAAAGAAAGAGATAAAAGACCACCATTCAAATTTCATCCCAGTACAAAGACTACCAACTAAAGGTGAAGAGAAAGTGAGAGACAGAAGTATCAGACGGAATCCTAGCATCAGCTTCTTCAAATGGATTTTCAAACTGTCATATTTTACCTACTATTTGATATATTCAATAACTCAATGATTCAATTTCATGTAAGAATTGGTTTGAAAATGTAATGTGTGATACCTATGACAAATCTAATTATTGCCTAACAGTTTCAATAGCTATATTTTCACAAATAAATCAACAAGAATGAAAAAACATGCAGCTCTCAGAGAGCAAAGATGAGCATATCTTGCAAGGAAAGGTCAACGCCTCTGGTTAAGTGGGCTTTGGAGTTGCTAGCTCTATGATGATTTGGCAGTTGCCTCAGAAAGCAATGGCTCAAGCTCTCCTTTATGGTAAAGCTTCACAGTTTCTGCATAAACCAATAAAGGAAATAATTAATACATCCATCCAACAATGAAACATTAGGATGGTTATGAAGCATACAAAATTTTTAGAGCATTTCAGACGATTGGGCGATGGCTATCAGTTTCAAGGTAAATAAATTAGGCTGCCTAGAGCTCAAAATTCAAGCAAACCCAAAAAGAAATTCACAAGACACGTAGCTATTGCAACTGATAAAAATATAAAAAAATAAATTTAAAATGAAAATTAAAAAAAAAAAGAAAAAGAAAAAAGAAAAACCAAAAAATAATAATCTATTATTACCTGAACAGCCGCCAATGTGCTTGCCCCCTGGTCAGACAATAGAAGAGGATGTATAAGCAATTGAATCATATTAGTAAATCAGATAAAGATTGCAAAAAAAAAAGGATTAAACTTGAAAGACAGTCTAAAAAAGAAAATTTTCCATGTTTATGAGGTTTGGTGAGGCGTGATTGCCGACAAATGCAACCCTTTGAAAGTAATTGAATAAGCTAGTTCATATCTATTTAAAATAATATGTGTAGCTGACTGCAAGCAAACATAATTTCTTATGCTAAGATGTCTAATACTGCACTGCTAGAGAGCTGATCTTGAAAGACAAAAATGATGCATGCAAATACGAATTTCCGTGTAAGTTTTTTTTTTTCCTCCATAAATAAAGCGGAGAAAAAAATAATTTCATACCCAAAAGGCCAAAACCACAGACATTAAACAACAAAACATTGGTTTATGATGAAGATGAATCACTTGGAATCAAGAAACTATATGTTTCATCTTGTACCTCAAGTAATGGACATACTGTGATCATGAAACAGATCAAAAGAATTTATCTCAAGACCACTCACCAATAAAAACATTTGGAACAGTGTATTGACCAGTAAGCCTCTCCAGTACCTTCTGCAGTTGAGGCCCTTGAGCACCTGACAGATCAAGAGATTAATATGCCAGCAAATCAAGTTTTATCAAATACAATGATTCATAAAGTTTGAATCTCTACCAATACTAATTACCACTTACAGGTGCTTATCAGCTTATATATCTAAGAATAATTTTGCTCACAAGTCTGAAGATGGTTGTTCCCTCACCCAGCAATATACATATCAGCCAGCAATAATCAACAATAAGTGAAGCAAATATTCCATTATGTATTACTTGATCATTTCATTGCGATACAAAAAATAACAGCCAAACTCAACAAGAGTACTCATTCAACAAGAGCACCCATAATTCTCATCAGATATAACCACAATTTTACTGATGACTGACATAAAGAATGGTTAGAGCAAAGTATCTATTTCAAGAGCAAAAACATAAGAAGAAATCTAGTGTTCTCTTCCAATGATCTAGGCTTTACCATATCCACAAAATTAGTCACAATGAATATGAGTGTGCAAAGCAGCAGGTATGGATATGCATATATTTAGCCCAGTAACCACGTAAATCCATTCTTTGTCATGTTTAATCAAAACAGTACTGTGATCAGATGCAATTGAATGAATGAAAAGATAGTTTAACAAGTCACTGGTTGTCATATATCAAGCACCTCGGCTTTCAATCTTTTAGGCACACAAGAATATTGAAGCGACAAATCTATAAAAGCTGGGTAGTGAATAGCTACTTAAATTCGACTGACATCACGCATTATAGCATTTAGACTAAATGATAAATAATCAAGATACATCAAACCAATTGATCAGCATGCAAGAAGACTGTTATAACAGTCTTAATAGGTGCTTCCTTGATCCATTACTACTGGAGCACATTGCAAAGCCAGTAATTGTTTTGGCCTTACTGTCCTTAGACCTTAGTACCAAGTTCACCAAAAACCATAGTGAAATACAATCGTTGCCATGCTTAGGATGACAGAATCATTTATAATGTAGAGAAAAGGATTTGGTCCATTTGGAATGTGGACTCTCTGACAAATTGTTGGAGGAGATGCATGAGAAAGCAGCAGAATCTCAATCATCCATATACTCTGGTCAGGCGGATGCTTGAAAAATCAAAACAACATATATCAAAAATTAGTCTAATGTTGTGTTTGGATGCTAGAATTTCAGTCAAAATTTCTGGAATAGGGTGAATTGAGGTGTTTTGGAACAAAAGAATTTGCAATTCTGAAATTGGCCTGAATATTTAAGGCTAGAGGCCCACCAGCCCATGAATATGTAATTCCAATGACACATTGTTTGTTGTCATTTAAAACTTTTCACCAAAAGCACATTTTATTCATTCTCTTCGTCTGTTTTTCTCTCCCACCTGAATCACATTGTATGGGAAGCAACTTCGGTATCTCCCTCCTCCCCTAAATTCAGCCATTGATGGTTCAAGGTTCGCTTCTCCTCCCTATTTCGTATAACACACTATTTTTCTCTAGAAAATATGCCTTCATTTCTCTCTATTAAAGCTAGTAAATATCATAGAACTCCTTTTAACCCTACTACATCTTCACCCATATTAATGAGTAATTATACTTCCAATTCACAAATAGTATTGTGGTTACAATATTGACTTATTTTTTATTTTTTCAAATTTGTTGTTTTCTAGGAATATGATGCTCTACATCCTTGTATTGTGAAAGATTCGATATGAAAATGTTTTCTTTAGATAAGTGGCAATTCCATAATTAAAATGCCACTTCCATACAGCATCAGTGGTATTTGAAAATTCTAGAATTTAACTTATTAGCTTTTCCCAAACAGCATATTTGGAATTGGAATTCAAGCTTTTAGATTCCATAGTTGAATTCATTAATTCCAAACACTATCTAAGGGAATTTGAAATGAAAATCAGCCAAAATGTTTTAAACGAAGAAGTAAGAAAGCATAATTTTCCACCATTACACAACTTATATTTGACACTTGGAAAGATATGCAAACAAGGCTCATATAGGTGGCACTAGGCTCATGTTCCTCGCTCTAAGGAGCTTGAACAACCATATTCCCTATAGTAAGGAATTTAAATGTTCTGTCAATCTCGAATGGTTACTTTTAGAAACTGCTTACAAATAAGTAATAACATATCATGTAGGTTGCTCAGTTGCTCACCATTGAAGGATAAAAAATAAAAAATAAAATAAAAAATAAAAAAAAGTGTACTTTGAAAGCAGAAGTAGCTCAAAGCCTCAAACTCCACTTAAAATGTGACATGTGGATAACAAAACTTATTTAATTTATTTGTTTAATTGCATGCCATAATTTTTTTAAATATCTAGCCGTTAAGAGTACTTTGTAAAAGAAAGTTTAGCAACTTAAAATTATGATGTGGCAAGGCCAGAGTACTGTAGGCTTTGTAACTTGTCATTGGTATTGCTTTCACAGGTCAAAAGTAACAACCATGGTAAGTAATGGGAAATTAGAGCAAGGCAATACATTGAAATATGCCTTCCCATATCAAATTTTAAGCTACTATACTTTCAAGTTGCTAAGTACTCTAATGTTTAGCTATAACACGTATTATCTAGCAAAATATAAATAAATGATTAAATATAGTAAAATTTGTAATCCAAATATCACATATTAAGTGGAGTTTGCTTTTCTTAATTAAAAGATAAAAAGAGAAAGAAAAAAGAAACTCAACCTGTCAGCTTGTTTGAGCTAATACTACTTTCAGACATTATTTTCTATTTACCACTGGTGTTGAGCTACTTACTTGATATTTTCACTTGCTTATAAGAAAGCCTCATGATTAAACATTAGCAATGCTCTTACTTGATAGTAATGATTGGTAACTCAGAAAGGTCATGAGTAAACGCCATATTAAGTACAGACTAGTAACTTACAAGTGATGGGCGGCTACCCATATAGGCTTGGGTGATTACACATGTAGCAATGGCCAGTTAAGTTCACAAATAACAGCTTATGGATAACGGGTAAACATAGATACACATTCACAAATACAAAAAAAAAACAACTAAAATGCTCCAAATTACTAAATTTTGTACAATATATTCTTCAACAAACAACTAGCTCTATATGAGTCTTTTCATAGTCCAACTTGAAATCCATTCATTGCTCCCTTCTCTTTATAGTAAAATATATAATGCCTCATCAGCACATGTAGCAATATTTTGCATATAAACACAAATTTCAAAAGAGAATTGGAGAAGGCCAACAATATTACAAGAGTTCTCCTAACATAGAGCAGCCATCATTTTACTTTTCAAAGAAGTTCTGCAAAAAAGTCTCTGAACGTGCCTTAGATTCCTAAGTCTCACAATCCTAACAGCAGAGTGTGATTATTTACTTGTACACCTCAATATACAACTTAGAATAAAATAAACTCCTTTCTTAAACTGTTGGAGTTACTCTCATCCACTCCTTCATACCAACTACTTTCAAGATAAAAAAAATATAGCTTATTATACAGCTAGAGGGCAAGGAGGCCTCACAAAATCCACCAAGATAAAGCCAAAATCAAAGCCTAATAAGAAAGGAATATTAAGATCTCTGCCCCTTGTATTCTTCTCCAAAAAAATCTGAAAACTTACAACTCTTTATTCCAATTTCTTTTACATCAAACCAAAATTTTAAAGTTGCTTTCCAAAAGATCTCTTACTCTCAAACTCCTGATTTCAATGTTTATAACCCTATATACCTCATTGATATCTTTGAAAGTCTCTTGCTTCATCTTAATATTACTAATAAGCTTCATCATGAATCAGAATTTCAATCCCAACTTCACTTGACCAATCATAAGATCTTATCTTTGAAAAAATAGTGTTAAAACATTGCTAGGTTTAAGGCTCTCACTGAATAAATTGAAGTTCTGATGGGAACATCAGCACATACAGTTATTAAGCCAAAACCTAGAGTCCTACACCCTAAAAATTGTCTCCTAATATTTTCTGAGAAAATTACACCAATCGGCTTGTGACCATATAAAGGAAATGTCTGCAATATCATCTTAACTAGACCTCATAACAAAAGGAAATTCCAGCACCACACCTATTCTTATCCACCAATATAAAATAATTTTTTTTTTTAAAAAAAAAAAACATTCATCAATATCCAAGGAGCAAAAAACACCTGAAGATCTACAATATCTTCCATGAACAACTAAATGTTTTCTAATGATTAATTATTTTGATCTAAACCCATCCAAACAGAGGAATCTGAAAACCATTCGCTAGTCATCAAAGATAGCATTTATATTCAAGAAAAAAACCATAGGTTCAATGTGAAGTTTAGCCCTTCTATGTTTTAAAAATTTAGAGTTTTTCCTATCCTCCTCTGCTGACTAAGCTATCAATTCAACAACATTGGGCTATTGACTTCCATGATTTTATTGAAGTAGAAGTCAGTTGAGTGAATTCACAAACAATGAAGCCATGAAACACTTATAATGACACTCAAAAGGAATTCAACAAATGCTTCCCTACATTTGAAAACAAAATCCTAAATCAAATAAAAATATCCTAATAAAAGAAAGATATACACAAGCCTAAATTTGGATTATAAAGGGACCATTACAAATCAAAAACACTCATGAAAACAACTCTCTCTCTCTCTCTCTCTCTCCTTCTTCTATCACAAGTTTAACATCAACTCTCATGCATTTATCTACACTACATAAAAGAAATATGGAAAATCCTCAATGGTGACTCTCAATTTGTGCTACACGGAAATGATGACCCTCTTGAAATTGAATTACACATTTAAGAATTTTATCCCACTTATAACCTTATTTAATTAAAAAAAATTAGTTAAAATTAACTATGGTTAGGTTTATTTCAAAAAAAAAAAGTCAACCTAGCCACCCCCACCGCCTCCACCTCTACCGAAAACCTGAACCCACCAGAGCTGAAACTCAAACCCAGCCAGCAGCCCCTGCCACTGTCCCGTTTCCGGCCCCCCTCCCCTTCCCCCGACCCGTTTTCAGCCCCTCTTGCCTCCCCCTCACTCGCCACCAGCTGAACCGAAACCACCCTCACCCGAAACCCTAACCCCCACCTGAACCGAAATCACTTTCAGATTTGGGTAGGTGGGGTAGTTTCGGGTGCTGATAGTTGTTGCTGGCGGAGAGGTCAGAGACTCAAAGGAGATAGAAAGGGAGGGTCGTAAGTTATGGTGGGAGGAGCGATGGTCAGGGTCGGGTCTGATGGGGGAGTCAGATTTGGGTCTGGTGGGGGGTGTCGGGTTGGGGTGAGGATGAGGGTAGAGGTGGTGGCAGCAGCTGGGTGTAATTTTGTTTTTCTTTATTTTTTTTTAAAAAAAAAACCTAACCATAGGTTCATAGTTTAATTTTTTTTAATCAAAAAACTTTCATTAATGTCATATTTGGGATAAAAATTTTAGGGTCATTTATTTATTTTTGTGTAGCACAAAGGGTCACAATTGAGAATTTCCCAAGAAATATTAATGTTGCTATTTGGTGGTATAATCCAGCTTTATGAATTATCAAATCTTATCAATTATTTACACTATCTAACCACTCAAGCTCCTCCTTCATCCTCGAGATTGAGAATTAAATTAGAATCGTTTTATCTTACTTGAGAGACTGGGGAATTTTGATGCGGGATGGAGCTTCCATGTTTAACTAAAGGTCAGGATCCTCCACCTAATATTTTCCAATAACTATTAGACCACCCCTTTAACTTGTTTTTCTTAATCTATTCTTTTCAGGTTCTAAAATTTCAAAAATCATACCCTTTTCTGAAAGGGCAGTTGTAACGGTTTCAGCCCCTGGTTATATACTTTATTCACTTTAAGAAATTTGCACTATGCTTGAAAATTGAGCCAAGATTTACTTACAAGTACATCACAAAAGATGCTATTTCATCTCTTCCTATCTAAGGTCTCTAGAGTTTAAAAGTGGAAAGATTCACTAGTTAGAATAACACACACAGAAATTGACTAATTCAATTTGTTGACAAATTGGCCCTGACTATTTGGCTTTTGACTTGTTGTCACGTACTCAGGCTGATCTACAATAAACTGGTACAGATACATGAAAACACTTCCAAGGTTCCACCCATAAGGATGTCCTCTTAAAGGCACCGTGGTAAACCATATAACTAAACTCAGCATTCTGCATCCTACTCTAAACTCGACTACTTCCATAATCATGTGTCATGCCTATTGCATGCTAAAACAATGAAGCAATGTGACATATCAAACACCAGTATTGGCATTCATCCTAAATCACTGCCAGTGCCACCAATACTCAAAGCTAATTGTACAATATGACTTATAGTCTCGCACTACCCATTTCTCCAAAATTGATATCACAACACCTTTTAACAACCTCCTCCAATCAATTCACTTCCCAATATGCCCATAGGCCATAGCTCATTAGATTGCATTCACTAAAACATTCAATCGTTCATTATTCCCTTAAATTAAGACTACTCACCCTACAGGCCTACACGATTCTCTGCCACTAAATCGAAACATACTCGAAAGAAAGGTGAACCTATATGGCAATTTCTAAAGCACAATCAGTGACAATCACATCCTTATAAAACACCATTTTAACAATGAGCATATGTATATATTTTCTTCATATGTAGTAACTATTGCCCGAAGCCAGTACAATAAATTAACAACCACAATCAACAACAGACCAATAAACATAATTGATGCAACAATACTTGAATAGAATTTCATACTTAATGCTAAATTAAAAAAATTACTTAGTATAAACTAATAAACATACCCAATTCATCCAATTCAATAACCAATGGCTCGGTTCCAAGTCTTTTGAACAATGATTTCACCTCAGAAGAATACCTTCAACCAAAAATTCACAAACATAAATATATAAGAACCAAAAACCCACTTCAACCCCATCAAAATTTCCAATTGTGAAACAAACCCAATTCATAAAATCAAACAAAATGGTCATAAAATTGATAAAAACTCAAACAAAAACCTCAAATCAATGAAAAAAATAATCCAAACTAAGCACTTACGAACACCAAGTTTTCGAGTAAACAACAACTGGGTTTTCTGTAACTGTCTTCTTCACACTTTCCTCAAGTCTCGACCCAAAAGAAGACGAAGACGAAGACGAAGACGACGACATGGCACGAACCAATGTCGTTCGTTCTCTAACATTGGAATTGAAATTAAAATTGGTGGAATAATTTAATTTAAGGGCAAGGTTTTTGGTATTAATTCGAGGTTTACAAGCTAAGAAATTGGAGAAAAATACGGTGGAATTGAAGAGGATAGAAGTGCGAGATGAGGAGAGAGAAAATGAACAAATGTTCTTGGTAAGATGAGAGGTTCCTGCCATTGTTGTTTGATTTGTAAAAGCTTGGTGGTGGTGGAAGATTGGTGGTTGTATACTGGTGTTATTTTCGATGCTTGCCTTCGATTTTTTTTTTATTTTTTTTTTTGGGTGAGTTTTTTCAGGGGAGTAACTTGTACGTGGCTAGCCCACATTGATTTAATACTTCGTACAGTATATGAAATCCTATTTATTCATAAGGCCCCGTTTGGTCCGTTCTTTTTTAATAATACAATCTTTTGATTAATTGTTAATAATATAACCTTTAGGGGGTGTCAATTTTAAACAAGACAAAAAACTTGTAACCTTTAAAACCGGTTACCCATGACACGTGTTGTCATGTAATTGGTCTGAATATTAATTTTTTTAAAAAAATAAATAACTTTTAATTTTTGATTTTTAACAAAATGTTTAAAATTAAATTAGTTCCTAATTAAGACATTAATTGTAATTTATTATTTAAGCAAATTAAAAATAAAAAAATAAAAAAAAAACCACCCATCCCCTTCCTCTTCCCGACCCAGCCAACCACCATATCTCCCACCCTCGAGCCACCTCCTCTCCCCCTCCCCCACACGCAACGACGAACTCATCGGCGCCGGTACGTCGTCCAGCACCATCCCTTCCCAGACACACGAGCCTCATCGCGACGCGAACACCACACTGATGCAGGGGATTTTTTTCGATACAGGGGAAGTGGAGGGGGGCGGTTTTCGAGCAACGAAAGGGGAGGGAGGTGGTTATCGGGATCTGGGAAAGGGATCGAGTGATTTTTGTGGTGTTTTGGGGGGTTTTGTGGTGGCGGCTGCGTGGATTAGGGTGGTTTTTGTGGTGGTTGGGAAGGAAAGGGGGTTAAGGGGGAAGTGGTTTGCGTCGGGGTTGGGTGGTTTGGGGTTAAGGGGGAAAGTCGAGGTTTAGGGGGAGGGGAGAGGAGGTGGCTGGGTGGTGGTGGTTGGGTGGTTTGGGGTTAAGGTGGAAATTCGGGGTTAAGGGGGAGGGGAGAGGAGGTGGCTGGGTGGTGGTGGTTAGGTGGTTTGGGTTTTTTTTTTAATTTCTTTAATAATAAAAATTATTTAATTTATTAATTATATTGAAAAACCAATAAAACAATGACACGTGTCACGGTTACCTTCAAAAACAGGTCACCAACGGGTAATGTCTTGTTTAAAATTGACACCCCCCAAAGGTTATATTATTAAGAATTAATCAAAAGGTTGTATTATTATAAAAGAACGGACCAAAGGTTGTATTATTTTCCGCAATTTTTCCTAATGTAAAACATTTTTAATGAAAAATTAGTTTTTATGGAAAACATATTTTCAAAGAAAAACACAATCGCAGTTTGCAGATTAGTTTTCCTTTGTTTGGTTACATACAAGAAAAGTCCAAGAAAAATAAAAAAAAAAATAAGAGTGGAAATGTAAGGATGAATGTGAGGGAAGTAAAAAAGAGGAAATTCAAGTTTATCTCCTAGATAAACATGATAAGAATATCCCAAGGTACTTTCGTAAAAATGCAGTAAAACTGGGGTTATTTATGTAAATTTGACATTAATTGAAAATTTAACTTCGTCAAATGTTGTTTGTCACTTTGGTAAACAATTGTTTTAGAAAAAATCATCAAAATGTAATTTTCGTCAGCAAATTCTGTCAACAATCATAGGTGATGCACGATAGTGATGGTAGAAATGGTGGTTATGGGGTTTGTTTTTATTCTCTCTCCTCATCTGCATTTTCTTATATTTTCATGGCGGAATGGTTGCCTGATTTAGCCGCAAAGCGGCAGTTAGCAGTTAGGTGATGGTTTCCCTAAAGGGTTTGTATGGCCCTACTTTACACACTTTGCTATTAGGGTTTCTATTTGTTCGACCGGCCTCCGCAAAGTGGCGTCATGGAGTTAGTTTGTGGCTGAATTGTTGGAACACGAGGCTATTTGACGGTGATGGTTGTGATGGATTTTGGAGAGGAAAGGTGAAGGTCGGGGGGGATGGCGTCATCTTCTTCCTTTTTGAGCTCTTCCATGGCTTTACACTAATAACGGCATGCTTCAAAAAGTTCACACTGTTAATTAAGTCAGTGGGTCTTTCATTTTTTTTAACTTTTTCCTTTTTATTTTCAGATTTAATATTATTTTATATAACTTACACAATTTCATATGCATTTATTTACCAATTTGCCATGGGATTTACCAATTTTGTTTATCTAGGAGATAAATGGAGGTCTCCTCGTAAAAAAAGGAGGTAAGGAGTGACAGGGTAAAGTCGTATCCCCTAATAAAAAATAATTACCCAAATCACTAACTAAGGTAGATAGGGAAGTAGGGTCGAACTTCACAGGGAAACAGGTCTTTTTAATTCTAATTAATTAATATAATCTAAATTATCTAAGTAACCAATATTTTAAATGTGAATTCTATACTACGAAGAATGAGTTTAGGGAGAAAAGAATCAATAATAAGGAAACATAGGGTCACAGGTTCACCAATAATTAATATTCTGGGATAGAACGAAGTAATTAATAATTAACAATGCATAGATAACATGATTGACAGGCTCTCGCAATTTATTAATCAACATAGATCTAACAGGCTCTCGCAATTTATTAGACCTAAGTTCCTATTAAAAATAGCCTTTAATATTAAATCAACATCTGCTCGATTCATCAATTCAATATTGCTAAACATTCACAATCAAATTACATCTGCTCGATTCATAATCTAATTGCAAAGAATTAAAACAATTCAATAGGAAATTATCATGCAATATCAACAATCAATAATAACAAACTATCCCTTCATACTAATTATGGATCCCCATAAACCCTAGAATTAAACTACTCACTATTCATCATAACTAAACCAATCAAATAAATAAATAAAAACATAATCAAGAAAACAATTTAAAATAGCTGAAATTAAAAAGGGAAGAAATTGTACCAAAATAAATCTGGAATTAATGGAGGAATTAAGAACAAGAGTTTAGAGAGAATTTAAGAGAGAGAAAAATACTAAGTAGAGAGAGAAAGTCTAAGAGAAAAAAAAAGATAAGTAATTATTCCGTACAAAACATATATATACTTCTCCTAAAACAAGAATTAAACTAAACTTAATCAGACTCTAGGAAAAACACGCGCCCGATCGGGCCCGCCTTTTTTACTATGCTCCTTCTGATATGCCGCGCCCGATCGAGCCTACGCTCACCCGATCGGGCGCGCCTTTCCTTGATGGCACTCATGCGCGCAGCCGCCCGATCGGGCGTATGCTTGCCCGATCGGGCCCGGTCTTCATCTTCAAGGCTTGGACTTCGATTGGGCTAGATTTCTCTGCCCAATCCAGATTTCCTCTCGGGTCTCGAATACATGGTCCAATTGCCTCGTGATCCAAATAACCGAGCCCTTAGTCACCGGCTCTCACCGATCTTGGGCTCCAAAAGTGGTCGTGTCCTTCTAGCTTCCGTAGTCGATCTAATAAGGCCCGGGAAAATGCTCCAAGAGTGCAATTTCCTGTAAATTACAACTAAAACTACGAAAACACTAAAACACACAAATTAGTAATAAAAGTGGCCCGAAAGAGCCAAAAACACTACTAATAATGACCACGGGACGGGGGTAAAACACTATATAAAATAGACATATCAAACTCCCCCAAGCCAAACCTTTGCTTGTCCCTAAGCAAAGAGCTCATCAATGAACATATAAAACATACTTCACCCCAATAAACAAATCAAAAACCAACGATTCAAGGTAAAATTAAATGAACATGCTTCAACATCAATCAATCTTATTCATCTAATCACCCTTCCTCCCCAACAATCGTCAAGTAGAGCAAACCACAAGAGCATATAGAATTCAAGACTAGTGCTCACACACTCGACTCTCATTTACGTGGCGAGTAAAGAATGTACTCGATCGCTCTCCACCCAACCCCTTTAATGTGAACAATGCCCTCCCATCTCACACTCTCGTGTGTATAAAAAACATTGAACGCTCATCCTACTAGTCGACTCGAAATATGCCAAGTCATAACTTGCATTGAAAAACAACACTTTCACATTTACATAACTTCTATGCACAAGGTCGGAAGGTCTTTTAAGCTTGTAATGTAAGGCTAGGGTAAAGGTAGGATAAATTTGGGATTATGTGAGAGAAAAGCTATGCATTAAGGGAGCCAAATCCTAATAAACCCATGATCAAAAATAGTGATCATACACATCTCCAACATAACCAACTCCAACAACAATCCACCAATTATACTCCAAACAATAAAAACAATCTCAACACTCACAACTTCACTCATAAAAATATGACAATATGGAACAAGAGTGAATAACAAACCTTGAACTCATAACTTGAAATATTTACATTGAAACTCAACTTTTTTTTTTCTTCTTTTGATTAACCTTCACTTAGAACATTTTAACATCAAACATTTTTTCCTCTTTTTTTTTTCTTAGAAGTTCACTTTCTTTTTCAAATTTCTCACTTTTTTTTTGAACTTCTTTTTTTCCCATCACACTTGTTTTTTTCTCAAATATATACAACTTTCAAACTCATAAAGACAAAAATATGATCAAGAACAAATTACTTCTCAAAACCCACCCAAATTGTGCAAATAATGTGCACACTACAAACTCCCTCACCTCACTCACTAATAGCTCCCCCAAGCCAAGCTTGGGACTAGTAACCAATGGGGCAAAATAGACTTGTAATATGGCTATAAACAATAAAAGGGCACAAGCAACAACATGGGTGACAAGAAGGGAACAAATGTATCTAAATACTCTGAAGGCTACCTAAAAGAATGAACGCCTTCGTCCTCCTCATGTGCATAATAATAAGTCATGAAACACTACTCATAGTTGCAAATCAATACTCAAATTCATTGACATACCAGGAATTATGGAACTATCACACATTTCCTAACCAAATCAACTAGTTAAGCACTATATTCACAAGTAGTTGGGCAAAATTGACGCAAGTTTAGGAATCCAAACAATTAAACTTCAAATCATGACCAACAAATCCACAAAATTCATCATCAAATACCAAGAATCAAAACAAATTTTCTCAAGTATGGGGCACAGGGAAGTATGATTTACAATTCATTGGAACGTATTTTTGAATTTTTTATTTTTCAATTTTTTTGTATTTTTCATATATAAGAAAACAATAAAAAACTACACTAGGAAAGCAAATAAAAACTATACTAGAAAGCAAATAAAGAGAGAAAAGGAAGAGAATTTTTCAAGTGAAAGAACACCCCCAAGCCAAATCAAGCAATGCCCTCATTGACTTGGGAGAGTAGCCTACTCCTCATCCTCATCCATCCTAGAATAACCCCCGCCGTGGCTAGAACCGGCTTCTCCATGGCTAGAGCCACCACCACCATACCCCGAACCACCGGCATAGTAGTTAGGGTCTACATTCCCACCCATACCCCCATATCCGTGGACCGAAGAGTAGTCCACATAAGTACCATAAGCACCGGGGTGAGAATACCCTCCTTGGGGGTATTGGAACCAATCGGGAGTAAGTGATTCGGGAGGAATAGCCCCCCGACGGGCATAATCATCATACATGGGGTAAATGCCCCTCCCTAGGTTCCTCTCTATAAGACCAACCCGCCCATCTAGGGTGCTTAACCTAGAG